CATCATCTATAAGAATGGAGACTATTTCATTTAATAAATGATTTGTTTTGATATATAACTTGTTCGGGTTTTTTTCATCTAAACAAAAAGGGCATTAATTTCATGACAACCTAATACTTGATATATTCGTCATTGCCACATATTTGTTTATAGTGCATAGGCATATAAATAAGTAAAACTGAATTAGTGATTCAACTTGTAAAGGATACTACAAAAGAGTACTTTTTTGTGTATTTTTCCTTAATGATTAAAGAAGTCTTGACGGTTAGAATAATTTCATGTTTTATTTTCTAGGATGGGGAAGTAATTGATTGGATGACTTTAATCAAAGAAAAACATGGACCAGAAGCTTGGAAGTGATATTTTAAACAAAATAACAAACTTTGGCAACAGTTTTTAGCACAACAATATGGATTTGGCTTTTTAAACAGAGCATTTTTTCTCCACTTATTAAATTATATAATAAAATATTTAAAAATACAAAACAATTTTTCTTAAGTAAAACCAATATTAAACCATGAGAAAGTACACTAATTGTAACCAATCATAATGATGTTTGGCTGTATGATGATACATCACTGGGATGAACTTTTAAAACCATGTTTGTAAATTTCTGTTAGAAGGGAGTATTAAAACTTGAGCTTGTCTCTTCCCAATTAAATGTTGATAACAAATATTTTTATCTAACTGCAGAATCACAGTACACACCTGAAATCTGCAGACCTATATATATACATATACACAGATAGGTTAAAAGCTTATAAAAAGAGAGCTATTCATTTATTCATTGTATTAAAATCTAACATAAGATCATGACCTTTAATCACTTATCAATTTATAAAAAACTCCTTGTAACAGTCATACACCAATAAATTGCTTGTAATGTATTACAATATTAGGCATGTCATATAAATTCTAAAACTTAAAGACTTTCTTTTACATTTTATTATTTCTCCTTTGACATTCAGATTTGTAAGCCAAAATGCCATATTATGTTTAAATTTCTATTGGTTTGAAAGAGTTATGTTGTTCATTACATGCAAAATATAAATTAATAATAGCTTGGAATGAATAACTGCTTCTAATTGAATATATTATAGTGTAGCAAATAGTCAAATAATCACACATTTGATAAAAGTCATGTAGTTGGTTATGTCTGTACCTAATATCACAGTCCTTGGGGTTACAGACTTGACACATTATTAACATGCCTTTAAATGCTGTTCAAGCTATTCTTCTCTCTCTCTATATATATATATATACATATGCATATATATATTTTTATAAAATATTTTTAAATTAGCATGAAAATACAGCTTGTCCCATTCTTTAAACAGTTCAACGATCTCCTGATATGATGAAAGGTCTAAACAAAACAAAAATATGATATATACAAAAATACGAGTTTTTTGTTGTTTTTTTAACATCATTGTTTATTTGTCCGAGAAAGAAAACAATCAAAGAAGAGTAGCTAGTATTTGTAATCATGTAGTATTAGATATTCAGTGTTCAGTTTCAATTGCTGTTAGCAGTTAAATTTGTGGAGGAAATTATAAGAATTTTGCTTGGATTGTTGAAGTTCTCTGTATTGAAAAACAACTTATTTTGAAAATTTCAGCTGTGCTTTTAATAAAACTTATTTTGTGTAATATTTGTGAATAGTATTAAAGTATAAAGATTGAGTACGTTATATTAAAACTATCTTGGAGTGTTACCATGTCATTACAAGTCCTTGTCACCATGTCGGATCATGCTCTGTGTGATAACCGTGCATCTTGACAATAAGGCTGTTATGTCTTAAGGCACACCACTTTTGTCATGATTTCCATAATTTATGTATGGACAATGGTTTAGGAGTACCTGTTTGAATGGTTGAGTCACATAGAAATTCGTATCCAGCTGTTTGTGGTGCATGACAGATACGACTGGAAACCTAATCTATGGTGAACTCATACTCGTTTTCAGGTGTTAATCCTTCTCAGTTATGTTGTGTACTATCTGAAACACAAGGACAGCTTTGTGTTTGAAACTTCTCACCTGTTAAAAGATGCCCCACTTTGCTTACTCTGCCTGGAGTACAGTTCATTGCACATCTCTTTCTAGATGGCCCTATTGCCCCAAACTGATCCATATTCCATTGTTTTCCGATGTTATTAAGTACAAGATATATCCCCGTCTTGGAAATACTAAATCCGCGATACAAACACATTGTTAATATTTGAGTGTACGAATATTTTGCACCAGAAAGGGGCTGTTACCTACTTTTTACAAAAATGATCAGTTTTCTGTAGCATTACAAGATCTATGAAACGCCAAATATGTCAAAATGTAGTTCTGGTACATACCATTTCCCCGTAATGGTGTATTGGTTTGGTTGTCACGTGATTTTCAGATTTCTAATTAATTATCAAATATTTTGTCTCCTGGTTGGACAGTGGTAAGTCTACAGACTGTGTTTAAATAAGTGTATACATATATTTTTAAATATATGAAAATGATGGCAGGCAGTTTATAGGAGCGCTTCTCATAAACCTCCCACCTTCCTAATTAAGATGCACTACGAAGTGAAAAGTACTTAACTATATATCGCTACGTTCTCACACGTTATATAATATACCGAGTGTTATGGTCTTAAAATTTATTTTTAACTCCGAGGCATTCTAAGAGAGTGCAAAGCTTTTCAGTAATGTTTAAACCTTTTTTATTTGCGAGTTGTCTACTATGATATGTGCTGGTATAACACAATTCTTCATATAGAAACACAACATTTTTAATGTCTATACCATTTGCCTTTTCTCACAGTTTTGTTTTTTAAACCATAATCCTCGTTTTAGATTTTTTTTTTTTTCATAATTGCTAAATTCCATGATTTACTCTTAAGTTCGCTTTGAAACATGTCTGGTGCTCAGGAAAAGTTGGTCGTGGCTGTTTGATTTTTAGTCGATAATAATGGTAGGTTACTTCCAGCTCTAGAGCCTTCTTTTAAAAAGTCAGGAAGGAGTTCGTCATGATTGTTTGACTTTTAGCCGGTAATAATGGTAGGTTACTTCCAGCTGTTCAAAGCCTTGTGTTAAAAAGGAGAGGCAAATAAAGAAAAAAGTGTGCGATGTGACCCAGAGGCGACAAAGCTCAAGAGTTGCACAAAGCATGAGACTCAATGTGACAAAACTAGTCCAGAATAAAAAACTGGTGTAGAAATGGTTTAATATTGGTTCGGCTCTGTGTTCTTTCGTATTGGTCTCTGGATCTAAACCACTAAAGCGACCAGTTAGGTAAAATCTATCTAAAGTTTTCTCCTTTTTGGTCCACAATTCCTTGCACCACTGGCTTAATTCCTCCTCATCCACGGGGACCACATCTTGATCGTAACGCTTCACAAGGAAATGGACAAACTTGGGCATATTTCCCCTCAGACAGTCAACTTCCGATTGAGGAATCCTGTCTGGGTAACCAATGGTTACATCATACACTGCATCCAACATACCAACTGAAAGAAACAATATTTTTGATTGAATTATTATGTCAAACACTGAACATCTTCGACGAGTAGAGAAAATTGTATACTTAATCTTGACTTTTCTAAAATTTATTCAACAGAATTATATTAATGAAAAATCTACTCTATAAGCCCGATTTCTGACACGTTTCATGATCATAATCAGTAGTTAAATTGGTTTTTATGAATTAAAATACAACAGCCCCACACTTTAAAACTTAGTTTATATTACAAAGATTAGTTCCTAAGACATAATTACGGATTCTAAGAATAGAAGAATATCATAAAATGGTGTACATTAGATATAATCGAATCAGTTAAAATTTACAAACTGCTGTGGCATAGAGGTACGTAATATACTCTTATGATAAACTGAACCAAGAAACCGGGTTTCGATGCCCGTGGTGGACAGAGCACAGATAACCCATTGTGTAGTTTTGTGCTCAACTTCAAAGAAACCGAACCAAGAAAATTACTTCTACAACTTACATTCTCTCATTTTTTGGGCCATGAAAACAAAGCCGGTAGTGCGTGGATGAAGCACGTGGCGATAACTTGAGAAATCATTTCTTCGAGCAAACGCTTCGCTCTTTTTAATGTTGCTTAGGGTGAGATCAGTTCCCTCAGGAAATAACAAAACCTTATAAATAAAAAAAAAGATATTTTATAATAGTTTGCTAGTCGATTAGTATCAAAATTATATTCCTTAAATATTTAGTGTACAAAAGGAAACTCGATTATTTCAAAATAGCAGTGTTAAATAATATTTAAAAATTATGATTTACTGACAGTGACAATATTGTAGATAAATGGAAACACAAGTAACACGCATAAAGGAGTGAAAGTAACGAGTAATGCCAAGTAGATGGTGAGCTTATAAATGGCACAAAATATCACAGAAGAAAAATGATTTAAGTTGTACAATGCACTAGCATATTTTATGTGGGCCCTTAGCTTTACACAAAGCATTACATTTTGTTTTCATGCTGGCATACAGTTTATAAAGGTACGATTGTGGAATATTATTCTAAGTGTCTTCTATTTCTCTCCACAATCCAACCAAGTAATTTGGTCATCTTTTGACCTTTTCAATTTTTACATAAGCCCATACATCTGGATTTTGTGAAGGCCAAGCCTCATTACCGTCAAGACAAAATTTCACCACATTTGCTGTATGCTTGAAATCACGGACTTT